CCGCCCACATAGAGAGCCATGGCCAGTAAGGGAGGGGCCATAGTGGTTTTCCGTGTTCTGTTTCCTAATTTCGCAAATTTACGAATTCATGTCAGGTGAGAAGGAGCTTCTTGCTCGAATAACCGTAGGAAGATCGCTCTTTCAGACATGAAAGATATTTTGTTATTTGCAGCTAACTTCGGATGTGGTACGAACGGAAGCAAACGCACTGCTTGGATGGGATCAGCTCTCTCTTCGATTGTTACGGGCTAAAGGAGTAAAGCCGATCGTTGTGTTACATAGTGAACTAATCGTATTCTCATCGCTTGCTGAAAAGTTACAATTCCTTGAAAAAGAGGATAGCAGATACAGCTTAATCTAGAGAATAAATATTAGCATGTATAGTAAATGCGTAGAAGTATTATTGTTTTGTTAGAATCGAGTTTTCCTATCTCTATGCGCTCATTTTTACCGATGTCGTTGTTTGTCACTGTGCAAGGAATTTTTGTTTGGAACGTTTCAATACTCATCTAAATTCCCCTCTTTTTTTTAAATTCCAGTCACTTTTCATCAGCGGCTGTTTGGCCGCGAAAAAAAGAAACATGAAAACGATTATGTCACAAAGTCATGTCAATCACGCGTCAGTGAGGGCGCATTCATAGTCGGTCGTCCGATCGTAACGATTGTTACGATCGCATTTGTCGCACTATCGATGCATCTATTACACACTCGAACGATCGTGCTTCCCAAATACCGTGACGCAGTGTCGGACGTCGTCAGTCGCGTGTTGTTTGGGATTGAATTGGATCACCACGTCGTCTCCCCTATGTAACCGAGGCATAAACGATCGTCACGATGTTACGATTGGACAACCGACTATGAATCCGCCTTGAGATGGCGTTGTGACCCCTTCGGGAAGCACAGGAAGGAACCGCGTCCCCACGATTCGTGGGCCATAGTAGCGGTTCATGGTGGCGCATCCTTTGTTTCCCGAGGCGAGACATGTTGTAAATGCGGACTTGGTTAGTAGTATTAGTGGCTACAGCTTTCTAAAATCGATATCATACGCGAGTTTTGGTGCTCTTAATGCTTCATGGGTATTACAGTCGATATCCAGAGTAGGTGTGTCACCGGGATGCCATCGCCACACTTGGTAGAAGCTGTGTGGATAAGCTGCTTCGGTTACAAGGCTTCTATCAACCAGGAGGTGAGAGTGTAGAAGGAAAAGCAGACGTTCTTTGTGGTAGTGGGACTAAGCCTTTTAAAGGAGGTAAAGAAAGCGGAGATTCTGTAATAGTGCGCTTGTGTGAGAG